TAAAAAAAGATATCATCACCGTAGGGAGGGGGGGCGATGATAAATTCCTCAATGGCTCAAGGGGGGCGTTTCTTTCAAAAAGGTTAAGAACCACTGCTCTAAATCTATCAACTGATGCCTGGTCCATGTGACACATGTCTACGTTTTCAACTCCTGGCACAAGGAATCTAACATTACAGCATCAAAGGACTTGAGCAGTTTACCATTTGCAGCTAGAAATATTTACCTTTATTTCTACAGAAGGCCTCAAACTCGTCCTCTTCTTCATCATCTCCTTCTGAAAGCATAGTTGTTGCTACACCTGAAGAAGAAGGTGCAAGGAACACATCCATGATGAAACCTAATTAGGCCCCAAACAAGAAAAAAAATTAAAAAGAAAAATGAATTTAAGGTTTTAGTTTTAAAAGGCAACAAGAAACATTTAAATAAGAACACAGCCCCAAGTTCAGTTGCAACATGATTGTTGCTTACGTTTTGCACCAGGTATGGGGCAATGATGCACACTAGTCAAGGCTATGATTGCCAGAATACCCCCAGCTTGGTCTTTCATACCCTTTCCAGCTTTGTACCTCCGCAAGACTGCAGATATAAACATAGTATGTTTTACTTGTGAAACTGATCCAGTATTTCATTTCCGCCCCCCCCTCCCAATATGTCTGACAAAGTGGACTTGTCCACAAAAGCTCACATTAAAATATAATAGTCTTTAAGGTGCCACATGTTCTCCTCTTTGCTTTGTTTCGTTCCTTTGGGTTTTGACTGATAAATACAAGATTTTGAGCTTTGTGATCTAGCATCAAGGAAACAGCTATAAATCCTATCAAACATTGGCTGCCTTCCTCATAATCTCAGAACAAAATATAGAGGAAATATACATTCAAAACTGCCACGTGCATTCCTTGTAAAATCTATTAAGCCCAAATGCCTGCATCCAAACCCAGTTGGTCTTTCTACCTGCAGAGCCAACAACAGTGATTGCTGAGCGCTGGCTGAAGAGAGCAGAAACCTCATTTATTACTTGAAGCAAGAGCTTCTAACAAAGGAACTGCAGTAAACAAACTAGTTGCTTTTTTGATGGAGAAATTTGCCCATTTGAATCTACTCCATCATTGTCACCAAAACAGCTAACCTTTCACATACAGTACGTGTCTATTGTGAAGCAGCTTCCTAAGCAAAAGCTGATTCATACAACACATACAGTGGGGTCTTGACTTGAGAACTTAATCCGTATTGGAAGGTGGTTCTCAAGTCAAAAAGTTCTCAAGTCAAATCTGCATTTCCCATAGGAATGCATTGAAAACCATTTGATCCGTATCTGCTCTTTTCCGTCCATAGAAACTAATGGGAAGCTGCTATTCCGCCTTCAACCACTAGAGGGAGATATTTTGTTTCTTTTTTTCTTAGGTCAAGAAAGGTTCAGGGAAGGCAGGGAAAATACAGTCCAGGCAGTCCAGTACCAGGCAGTCTGAAGACTGTCTCCCAATCCACTCTCTAAACGCTGGGAGGGGGGAGGAAGCAGACAGGCACCCTTTTCACTGGCCAACAGTTAACTGAAAGTTCAAATTTTGCACTTCCCCTGCCTCCCACGTGGGTTTTTTCAGTTCTTAACTCAAATCTAAGTATGTAAGTCAAGTCAATATTTTCCTATGAGAGCGGTTCTTAAGTCAAAATGTTCTTAACTCAAGCCGTTCTTAAGTCAAGACCCCACTGTACATAGTTCTATAAAGCAGGAATAAAACGGGTCTCCAGCGCAGTCCGGTTTTGTTTTCATGAGGACCCACATACTTACCCAGAGCCTCTTTTGTGTGCACAGTAGGAGATGGTTTAGATGGAGTTGCCTGCATCAGGGCTGATGTGTTTGGAGTCGCATGACGATTATCATAGAAAATAGAAGCATTTCTACTGCCCGATGCTAAAATTATAAGAAAGGCAACAGCAGAACTGAATAGCAGAATACATTATTTAAATCTGGGAGTATGTAAGTATCACAGGAATGGTACAATAACAATAGGACAATAGCAATAAGCTTTTTCTTCAACTTTGGATTTGTATTTTACTTTCTTAAAAGCTACTAATTGAAAAGATTGCCTTAACTAAGGTTTTATTGTATTTATCCTTGCATTTCAGTTTCAACAGACTGGGCAAAATGTAGGAAAAAGTGAAGCAGTGACAGCCATACACAATTGGCAATGTTTCAAGCAACTTTGGATTTGTATTTTACTTTCTTAAAAGCTACTAATTGAAAAGATTGCCTTAACTAAGGTTTTATTGTATTTATCCTTGCATTTCAGTTTCAACAGACTGGGCAAAATGTAGGAAAAAGTGAAGCAGTGAGAGCCATACACACTTGGCAATGCTTCAAACAATTAGATTTTTATATGTAGAACTCAACTGATGCTCATTGATTGGTGCGTCTTATGGAGAGGTGCGTCTTATGGAGCAAAAAATACGGTAGATTTTTATAGTAGAACTCAACTGCTGGCATGCTCATTGGTGCTCCTTTCACACATTCCCCTTCCTGCGCAGACCTTGCCATGCGGATGGTGGAGATGTCAGGGACAGTTCTCTTCAACTCCACGTGAAAGTGGCTCCTTTAGCCCAGCATCAACTATTGGTGGGCATAATGGCTGGCAAGAGATTTCTCAGCTCCTAGCTAAACACTTTACCTACCAAACTACACCAGCGACCACAACTGGCAACGTGATCACAAATTTGCCTCGTGATTTTATACTTCTTGTTAGACAGTTGCCACTTCATTGAGGCTGAATCGCTCTAGATATGAAAGTGGGGCATTATCTGGAAGACAACAAAGTTTATGCCAAGTTCTTTGAGGATACAGCTTGGTAGCCAGATGAGCGATACAGAAGCTGAAGCCAAATCAATCAATCGAGAATGGATGGTCTCCAAATGTCTGAGAGTCACATACACTGACCCTTGAACCTTGAAAAGCAACATTCGCTCCTGCACTAAGTAAAACAACAACGTGCCACCAAGTCAATTCTCACTTATAGCAACCCATTTTCAGGGTTTTCCAGGTAGAGAGTACAGAACAAAGAAGTGGTTTACCCTTCCCTTCTTCTAGGGAAGTGATGGTGAACCTTTTTGAGCCCCAGTGCCCAAACTGTAATACAAAACCAACACCAACTCATTTATTTCAAAGTGCCAACACTGCAATTAGACCTAAATACTGAGGTTTTAGTTTAGAAAAAACTGCCCTTGCACTGCAAGGGTTAAATGCTTGTGTGGTTCATTTTGGGGACCACCTGGTTCACATTTTGCACTACAAGAAACGGTACAATCTAAATTTTTAAGAACCATCCTTCAGGTTCCCAGATGTGTTCCAAATGCAAGGATATAATTGGAGACAGGTCTCCTAAGCAAGGCCTGGGTTTGTATCCTGTCTATATATACATGGCTAAAGGGACATAACAACTCCCAAGGCCTTCTGCCCTTGATTTTCTATGATAATTTCCAATCCAAGTGAGTAAAGGCTGTCCAGAGCGATTTGGTGAAAATTGGTCTATCTCCATAAGTGCTGTTGTCATACCAAATAAATGTGCCAAGGAAATTAGTCAAACAAAGAATTGAGGTTATAAAACACCAAGCTGATTTTGCTAGAGTACAGAATCCAATGTTAAGGCACTGGATTAAGAACCCCGTGGAACTGGCAATTGTGTGTTTTTTCCTATGGGCGGTATTAACAAAGAAATACTTACCGGTCCTCCAATCCCCTGTCAGACTAGACCGGTAATGGCAGCCACTGCACCCTTCCACTGGACCACTGCACCAGCAGAGGGGAGTGCCGAAATCCAGGATCAGAGGACTGGAAAGTATTTCTCGATGGCTTGTGTCACACGTAGGGGAGTGCCGAAATCCAGGATCGGAGGACTGGAAAGTATTTCTCAATGGCGACTTATGGCCTGCGTGCCCACAGAGAGGGCTCTGCGTGATAGCTTTGGCACACGTGACATAGGTTCGCCATCGCTTTTCTAGGGGAAGCCTGGGACTATGCATCTTGCCCAAGGTTACACAGGCTGGCTCGTCTCCCGGAAGGCATAGGGAGGAATCAAACTCCCAGCCTCTTGTTCTGCAGCCAGATACCTAAATCACTGAGCTACCCAGCCAACTGCTCCTGCGTCAAACCTACCCCACAATACTTTTCTCTTTGAAAGTCTTTTTTCCACAACTAAAAAGCTCTGTCACACTCTCTAGTGGCCTATCAGTAAAAACAAACAGACAAATTACAGAAACATTGGGAAGTGTGGGGCAGAAGGGGCTCTGATGGGAAATGATGGCAAAATCTCCTTCTTCTAAAAATTACGTAAGAGTCTTTGAACACCTTTTAAAACATTTATTATTATTATTATTTGGAGTGTTGGCTGGGAGTGATGGGTCCTTCATGTGGTTCATGGACCATACTCTGCTCATCTTTGGAATAGAATAGTCACCTGCTACGGTACAAGAGCTCACAGAATATTTTAAAGAAAGAGAAGACAACGACTATATTATTACCATCTCTCATTTCAGTGGAATGTTGAAGTTTCTGATGAGAAGCGTCCAGGTGCCTGTACAGAACCAGTCATGGAGACAATACATAAGTTTTTCAAGAGCAGATTGTTCAAATTCTTACAAGATTAGAATCTAATTTTTAAAAAATGCTAACTTGTGCTCAACCCAAAGTTTTTACCTTCTCTTAGTATTTAGTGTAATGTGGGTTTAGGCAGAGGAAATAGAGGAAGTGTATTTTAAAGGTAGGTTGTTTCTGTTCTAAAACACTTGGGATGTGCTTACATCTACATGAAAAGAAGTACAGTGGTGCCTCGCATAGCAACGATAATCGGTGCAGCAAAAATCGCTGCAAAGCGATTTCATTGCTATGCGATATTAAAAAGCCCATAGGAAAGCATTGAAACCCCTTCAATGCGTTCCTATGGGCTTTAGACTCACCTTTAAGCAAAAATCCTCCATACGGCAGCCATTTTCGCTGCCCGGTAAGCGAGGAATCCGTCCCAGAAAACAGCAGGCGGCCATTTTTTTTACTCAGTGGCCATTTTGGAACTGCCAATCAGCTGTTAAAAATCATCACTTTGCGATGATCAGTAAGCGAAACAGGGTACCGATCATCGCAAAGCGATTTTCCCCATTTAAAACATCGCAATGCGGTCGCAAAAGCAATCGCAAAAAGTTAATCGCTATGCGATTTCGTCGTTAAACGGGGCGCAAACAGGGCGCCCGCTAAGCGAGGCACCACTGTATAATGGCTATTTGTTCCATATCAATAAATTATTTCATTCACTCATTACATTTCTTTTATGCAAGCTGTGCTCCTCACCACTTCCCAAAAACCAGATAAGGCCAGTTAGACAGGGTTTGGGAGTGACTGGCCCACGTTCCCCCAGTCTCTTTCGCTGAATGAGGACTTGCACATGCTTCTTCTAAATCCCCATCTAACAATTCAAAAATACAGTAATGCGGAGACTTAAACCATGGCTTCAACTTAAAATTCCACTTTGTTTCAAAAGTATTAATAACAATGTCCTGGAGTAAATGAAATAGGAAAGTGTAGTAAGTGGAAAATTTCCTAATCTGTTTGCGCATAATGGGAGGAACAAAGTAGTTACATACTCCAGAAAAAAAGGCTTATGCATTTCACAGTTTAAATGAGGACATTCTGTCATACAAGGTGTACTAGGAGTCATGCTCTTGCCCAATTACAGGTAGTTCATCCTTGAAATGTATGGATGAATGTGATTTGCAGAAAACTTTATCAGGAATCTAGTTATACAATGTGGCTAAAGAAAAAGGATGGGTATGTGTGGCTATGAGAACTCTGGAGAGCGTCCAGCCTTGCATTACAAGTTTCTAAACATGTATGCATGTGTTAGAAACATCACACATACATGCTTTAAGTGTAATAATAAGGTGAGGTGTCCAGGTATCACTTACTGTTCCATATGATGGTAACCATGTGGGACAATCACTTGTTTCTGGGGCGGCTGGACAAGGTCTTCAGAGCTGACGTGAAGTCTATGCAGCCTCTTCTCACAATCCGCAAGATCGCATTTCGCTTTGGAGAGAGACACTGCATTTAGTGCAGATGACGTAGAAGATAATACCGATTGTTGCCAGAGACTCTCATTAGGTTGCACAGCTGAAATACCTCTTACAGATACGTCACCAAAAACTGATTCCTGCTGATGATTTTCATCAGTTTGCGGAGCCGAAGCACCTCCTACGAGCATCTCACTGAAAACAGATCGAGGCTGGTGAGTTTCATCAGCTTGCAAACCTGAAGCACCTCCTGGCAATCTCTCTCCAAAAACAGGTCGCTGTTGCCAACTTTCGATTGGCTGCAAAGCAGAAGCACCTCCTCTTGAGAGCTCACTGAAAATAGGTTGCTGGTGGTGATTTCCGTCGGTCTGAAGAGCAGAAGCACCCCTTGTTGCCTGCTGAGGCTCCCTCCCCGAATTCAGCAAATTTTGCGGGCATCCGGCTGAAAACGGTGGTGCCCATTCGGGCCAACACTGAGCAGTTCTGATTCCACATGGAGCGCCCTTATCAAGTGAAGAAAGAATGACAAGGTTGGGATTTGCTGGGGTTTTTTTGCAATTAGAAACTTGCATTATGTAACTTCTGAAAACACTTTCAGCCTCAGTAGAGATAAGCACTGTTCTAACAGGGGTGGGCAACCTATGACACACACACCCCCGCAAATGAGTCAAAATGTTGCTCCACAACAACACTGCATGTACATAACACCAGAGACTTGTTTTTTAAAAAACCTCTTTCGAAAAATTACCATGTACCTTCTAAAGGGCATTTTACTGTGTTCTGAGGGCAGTGGTAAATGTACATTTCTCTTCCTCCTTTTTACTGTGTTCTGAGGGGCCTCCCAGCACCCCGGGAGTCCCTACACACAGCAAAAAGGTTTGATTTGATTTTTTTAAAAAATTGGTAACTAGAGGATGCAACAGGGCTTTACAGTTTAAACAACTACTTTTGTAAGAAAAAATGGGTGGATGGGGGAGATCTCAGGAATCATCCTCTAAGGTCCAGGGGTGGGCATGTGTGGGCCTTGGACCTCTGAAAAGGGACCAGCATAGAATTACAGGTTTCAAAATACTTCACACATATGCTTTGGTTTAAGAACAAAAAAAGTAATTCCGCTATACTATGTAGAAAAACTTTTATGGATATTTTCAAAGCCCAGGTATTTTAGCTGGAATTCTTTTGGTGTTCATGTAACGTTTACATAACTTGCCATGACTAATTGCCAATGCACATCATATTTGCACTGCTGGGCATATAACTGAGTCACGCCCCAGTACCTTACACAAACTTATTTGACTACCAAGAGTATTCTGGCCACTGTGTTTGAACTTTTAAGTTATTGGTGCTTTACTGGTTTATATGTAAATGGCCAGAATCCTGTTGGGTAGTTCCACCTGTGCTATTCATTTATTCATTTATTTAAAATATGTTTGCCCCGCCTTTCTCCTTGAAAAGGACCCAAGGCAGCTTACAACACTGAAAGACAATATTTAAACAATGAATATACGATAGCGGTTAACATCATTAAAATACAATCTTTAAAGCCAAGAACAATGAGTATAAAGGGGCATCTTACATTAGAAGGCAATATTAAAGCTAAGAAGTGTAAGTATACAAATATATATTTTTTAAAATGCTACTCTGAGAAATGGGAAACACAAAAACGGAAAACACAAATAGTACTGTGTCAAAGGAGTAATGGATAACAATCCATCTAAAAATCACACACAGGTAGCTAGTTATGGAGGGAAGATATGCTAGATGCTTGCTTGCGGAAGGACAGCAATGTGAAGAATGTAATCATTATCCCCAGATTGCCATTGATTAAAAAGTTATTACAATTTGGGGATGCACACATTCAGACAAAGCCATGGGCAGCCTGAAATTTTTAAAAGCAGTTCTTTAATCAGAATCTTATGTCCCTCCAGTTCTGCTGGCAGGGCCACACAACAGGATATTGGTGTTTGAAAGAAGGGAGTTGGGGAATGACTTGCTATAGAGAATGTTAAGGCAAATAAGAGTGAGGAATTTTAAGGAATACAGAGTGGCAGATGGGATCCTGGGAGATATTGAATGACCACATTTGGGAAAGTGAGGTAGTAGGAATCCTTCAATCTCAAGAGACTATGGTAATGTGCTCTGAATAGAGGTCTTGGAACAGCGCCTAGTGTGGCTGAGAAGAGTGACAATCGCACACTGAAGACAAATACAATCTGTCCCCTGTCCAGCTCCCTGCTTTTGCTCATTTTGGGACTGCCTCTTTGCCTTGGCCTGCTGGACAAAGGTCTCTTCAAAATGGGAGAGGCCATGCTGCACCGCCTGCCTCCAGGCTGAATGCTCAGATGTCAGGGTTTCCCATCTGTTGAGGTCCATTCCTAAGGCCTTCAGATTCCGCTTGCAGATATGCTTGTATCGCAGCTGTGGTCTCCCTCTGGGGCGCTTTCCCTGCACTAATTCTCCATACAGATCTTTTGGAATCTGACCATCAGCCATTCTCACGGCATGCCCAAGCCAACGTAGATATCACTGTTTCAGTGAAAAAGGGAGGGGGAAATAAGCAGCTGCATTCATCCCTTCAGTCTATGATAAACGTTTTTCCACTGTTCCTCAAACAAACATTTTACAGTTTTGTCTGTCCTCAATAACTGTGAAACTCATGCTTAAAGGGCTGGAACACCTACCCCAGGGAAGCTGGTTCTCCATATGTTCTGGATGTCAATTCTCATGATTCCTCTGTATTGGCCATGTTTATGGAAAATGATAATAATTATGGCCCAAAACATCTGGAGAGCAGCAGGCTGGGAAGGACTGACTTACCTTAATCCATTAACCTGTGAAGTGATGTTAGTACCAGGTGACTGGGACAAAAAAAAATTCAAAAAGTGGCAGATACAGTGCTGCCTCGCTTTACGATTGCCCTGCATTACGACAAAACTGCATTACGACGATCTTTTTGCGATTGCGATTACAAAACAATGGTCTGAAGGGTTTTTTTTCGCTTTGCGATGATCGGTTCCCTGCTTCGGGAACCGATTCTTCACAAAATGACGATTTTAAAACAGCTGATCGGTGGTTTCAAAATGGCCACCGGGTAAACAAAATGGCTCCCCGCTGTTTTCTGGGACGATTCCTCGCAAGACAGGCAGCGAAAACGGCTACCCTATGGAGGATCTTTGCTGGACGGTGAGTTTTGACCCCATTGGAACGCACTGAAGGGGTTTCAATTGTTTTTTTTCCCACTTTACGATGTTTTCGCTTAACAGCGATTTTCCTGGAATGGATTATCGCCATTAAGCGAGGCACCACTGTATAATCATATCTCAGTTCCAGAGCACATTTTACACCTGATGATAGTTCCTGATTCCTTTCCCAATATCTCCATTTAAAAGGATGGGAAGACCTTAGAGAACTGCTGGTTGTCAGGAAAAAAAGCAACACTATAGTGTCCCAATACAGGGTAAAGTAGCAACAATAAAACCATCAGACTTCAGTTTGGGAGAATTTTACATATCTGCAGTTGGATATTTCGAAAAGCCAGTGAAAATGTCTCTTTTCTGTGCTCTTGCAGTTACAACACTACTTATGGGTGGACATTATTAAAGGATTCTGCTTGCTTAGATTGAACGGGCTCCATAAAACACCATGGAGAAGGCGGTCTTTCAAGAAAAAGCAATAATATGACATCAACAACTTGAGTCTGAGTATTGCTACCAGTCTTCCCAGCAACCCTCTAAAGGTATTGAACTAAAATCTCCAACACATCTGGAGGGTGCTAGAGGCAAAGTTGATTTGTACAACACAAATAAATAAACAAATCTCACATCAGTACATATTATATGAAAACATACCATTGTGGTGCTTGGAATGGACTGATGAGTAGAAAAAGGCAGCACTGTTTTCTGAGATGATGATGATGTCTGGGAAAGCTGGTCCAGCTTTTGCTGCAGTTTCTGTAGCTCAATTAGATCATTTTGTTTCTTTTTCATAAACTCTTTGTCTTCATCCTCTGAATGCAAGAAAAGCCATATTATAGAAACCAAAGTGTGGTGGTTGTTGCTGATATTTCTTCTCCTCTCGTTAAATGTTTTAATTTTTTGTAAATAGCAGTAAAAATTACTCTGAAAACACCAGGAAGAATGGCACAACTATAGAAAACTACACCCAACACAGACTCTACATTGTTTGTTGCCCTAGTCTCCGTTTTTATAAAGCTATTAAGATTTTAGCTTACTTTTTAAAGCAGAGACCAAATGGTAGTGGGTTGGATCCAATCTAAACCAGATCCTACGAAAGTCAACATACAGTGGTGCCTCGCTTAACGATTACCTTGTTAAATGACAAATCCACTTGATGATTAGGTTTTTGCAATGCTTTTGCGATCGCAAAACGATGTTCTAATGGGAAAAAACAGCTTTATGACGATCGGTTCTCTGTTTCGGGAACCGATTTTTCGCTTTGCGACGATCAAAACAGCTGATTGTCGGGTTTCCAAAATGGCCGCCCACTATGCAAAATGGCTCCCCGCTGTTTTTAGGATGGATTTTCCGCTATACAGGGAGCAGAAAATGGCCGCCCTATGGAGGATCTTCACTGGACGAGCAGGTATTTCGCCAATTGAAGGGTTTCGAATGCATTTCAATGGACTTTTTTATTTCGCTTGATGACGATTTAGCTCTACAGCGATTTCGTTGGAATGGATTAACGTCATCAAGCGAGGCAGCACTGTAGTCAGTTACAGCTAAAGACCCATTAATTTCAATCAATTTAATCTGTACCCAAGTTCGTATGTGTTTATTGAATGTTGTATCTCCCTTAATACACTATAATTTCATCCTCATCCTCAGGAACAGGGCTAAGTCGAAGTTTAAACTGTAAACTTACCCCATTCCTTGTGCCTTTTCAGACGTTCAGCCTTTTTCAAATATATTTTGGCTCTCACTTCTTCAAAGCACAATTCAGAGCCTTCACAATAAAGAAGATTCTTGGCATACATGGGCTTCTGCTCAAGGACAGAACTGGAGGAAGGGGTGGGTACAATTTCTGATTTGGAAATGGTGGTTACATATACAGGTTGTTGCCTGCAAAGAAAAACATGGTGAATGCCAGCAACCAGATAGTTAACAAAACAGCAATAATAAGATGCCTCTAGACAATGACACTGTTTCAAATACGGCCGCAGTGTTTGACTTCAGAGCAATGCTTGAGTTTAGGACCAAGGTTCAAGTCTGTGCTCAGACACAAAGTTCTCAGGATTACTCTATCTAGTCTCAACCCCAATCAGCCTAGCCAACAGCCGTACTGTGAAGATGAAATGAGAGATGTAGACTCCATATTTTCGTACTGTGAGGTATGTTTTCCCATGGGAATGCACTGAAATTTAATTAATGCAGTCCTATGGGGAATTTTTTTTAAGTCACTTACCAGGTAGGGAGTGGGGGAAACACCATCGGAGGACTGGTGGGGGGTCCTCTGCAACCGCGATTGTCGCTTTCAGAGGTCCCCCGGCAGTCCTCCGATGGTGCTGGGCAAGCCTCTGAAGGCTTCCCCAGCACTATTTTTGAATTTCCCACCCCTTTCCCCGCCTTTCTCCTTTCTGAGGCTTGCCCAGCACCATTGGAAGAGTGCCAGGGGACCTCTGAAAGCAGCGACCCCGGCTGCAGGGGACCCCCGCCAGTCCTCTAATGGTGCTTCCCCAGCTCCCTACTTGGTGACTTTAAAAAAAAAATTCCCCATAGGAACGCATTAAATTTCAATGCATTCCTATGGGAAAACTCACCTCGTAAGATGGAAATTTCGCAAGACGGCAGGTCTCGCAGAACGAATTATTTTCATCTTGCAAGGCACCGCTGTACAGGAAAATATCTATGGGCAAAGACTCTTTACGCATGAATAGTCACTGGTTATTAACAAACACTAACAAGATAATCTATCATAGGTTTTTTTTAAAAAAAAAACAGCAACTTACGTATTTTGTGGTCCCTTACAAGTTGTGGACAGTGGTTCAAAATCAGCTGGATTCTAAAAGAAGAAAAGACAGCAAGTTCTCACCAAGAACTCTGCTGGCACAAGGATAATGTCTACAAGATGCAGGGAGGAGGAAAATAGGCACTGGGTTTGCACATCACAGTATGTGTATGGTGTGAATGGCTCCTACTGCAAGCATGAGGGGCTCAACACAGACCCCCACAACCACTTCACATGCTGCTACCTTTCCACATCATGACTTATACCTAACTCTTCAATTAAAGGTGATGCAAGAATAAACTGGACTCTTCCACATTTGAACCTTTTCCGTTAGATTGTTCTAATGTCTCATAGCAACTGCTTCTAGATACCTGGTTTTGGCAGACAAACGGAAGGTCAGCTTTAGCCACGATTTGATTGGACAGCTGAGGATTAAGCGGCTGCAGGACACCAACTATAGAAAAAGATATAGAGAAATAAAAACGGGTCCTGGTGATTCAGAAAACCAGTGACTGATAAACACAGAACATTGAAAGTTTCCTCTAGAAAAATAAGGAAATAAATTAATTCATTAAACACTATCTGTACATTCAGATTACCCTAAATCTTCACTGCAGGATGAATCAAAAGACCAACACAACTTCAAGGAAGCAGAAATATAGATTGAAATTTTATCTCACTCATTGATTACGTGCTGAAGGGGGGGAAACGAGGCTAGAAGATAAAGGGGGTGGGGAAGTAAAGAAACAAGCTTTTGTTGAAGAAAAATGTCACCCACATCTACTATAGTAATGCCAGCACACCACTGTGGCTTTCAGAAAGAATGCCAATTTTGCAAAACCAAATTAACTTTCAATAGCTTGCATGTGAAAGGCAAGTTAGCAAAGTGGAAGAAACATTTCCTGCTCCTCTCCCCACAGACCCCTCACAATCACATGTCCCTACTAAAAACCACCACAGAATGTTGGGGACTTTCCCTGAATGATGAGGGATGCAGCGGACTATTTTTTTAAAAAAAAACCAGCATAACCAAAGTAAAACCCACAACTCAGCAGGACAAACAAAGCAACAGGCTCAAAACTCCAAGTGAACGGCCCGTTTTTAATTGGACACTGAAATGAAACCAAAGACAGTCCCAGTTGGGCCCTCCAAGCAGTTGCTGGATTGTTCAAATTATTTTAAATACTGTACAGTGGTGCCTCGCTTAGCAATGTTAATCCGTGCAGCAAAAATCGCTGCTAACTGAAAACATCGCTAAGCGATCTTAAAAAGCCCATAAAAACGCATTAAAACCTGTTTAATGCGTTCCTATGGGCTTAAAACTCACCTTAAAGCGAAGATCCTCCATACGGCGGCCATTTTCGCTGCCTCTTAAGCAAGGAATCCGTCCCTAAACACAGCGGGTGGCCATTTTTTTACCCGGCGGCCATTTTGGAACCGCCAATCAGCTGTTAAAAAATCATCACTTTGCGATGATCGGTAAGCGAAACAGGGTACCGATCATCGCAAAGCGATTTTTCCCCATAGGGAACATTGCAAAGCGATCGCAAAAGCAATCGCAAAAACTTCATCAGTATGCGGTTTCGTCGCTAAACGGAGCGCCCGTTAAGCGAGGTACCACTGTAGTTTAAAGAACTATCTTAACATTTAGATATAGAAAGAATAGAAAACTTTAAAGAGTGCTGCTTCTTTTTGATAAAGGACAGGACAGAGATAAATTTATGAACAAAACACTACTTGTTTCCGTTCCATTTCACAGGCATTCACCCCAGCGCACCCTAAGATCTTCTCCAGATCAACTAAGCCACCCAGAGATCTTTGGGTAGAGTGGGTGGCATATATGTTAAATTAATAAATAAAATCTCTTGCACAAATAGCCAAAGAAATTAGAACACCTCTAGACAGAAACCCCCATCCCACTCCACCTCTCCCTTACTTACACCATAACATCTGCGTAGACATGATTAAAGCCGCTGCTCACTACTAAGAATCAAAAACCAGGACTCTAGACCTTGTAAACATCTAGGTTTCCCATGCCGTAAATACAGATAGCTGGCTGGACAGCTCAGTGAGTTTGGTACCAGGTTGGGAGTTCAATTCCCCACTGTGCAGCGCAGAAGAGTCAGCCTGTGTCACCTTGGGCAAACCGTGCAGTATCAGGGTATCCCAGAAAAAGGGAATGGTAAACCATTTCTAGTTACTCTTTATCTAGAAAACCCTGGAGAGGATCGTCGTATGCCAGAATTGACTAAATGGCACCGAATTATTTTTATCAGAGATGGGCACTTACTGCACTGCAGCATGATTCAGGCCAGCAGGTTGTTGTGTGGCAATCCAGATTCTAACCCCACCTCCTCCTGCAGGCACCCACTCTGAGGAGGAGGAGGAGGAGGAGGCAGGGCAGGGAAGACCACAGTGCTGCTTCTGATTGGGCACCCACAGAAGGCGGCAGGATGTGGAATCCGTAACACCTGCCGCTCGATCTCTCATTATTATTAAATATACAGTGGTGCCCCGCATAGCAAGGTTAATCCGCTATGGGGAAACATCGCTATACGGAACGGAAAAACCCATTCCAATGGGGCCCAAAACTCACCGTTCTGCGATGTTTCCCCATCCAGCCGCCATTTTCGCGCCCTCGGTAAGCGAGGGCAGGGCGCGAAAATGCTGCACGTGGCCATTTTGGGCATCCGGCGGCCATTTTGGAACCGCCGATCAGCTGTTTAAAAAAATTGCTATGTGAAAATCGGTAAGCGAAACGCTTACCGATTGTCGCAAAGTGATTTTCGGCCATAGAAAGCATCGGTATGCAATCGCATTAGCGATCCCAAAAACCGGATCGCTATGCGAATTCGTCGTTTAACGGTGCGCTCGTTATGCGAGGCACCACTGTACTCAGAAAATTCAGTGCACTGCTGAATATGTGAGAAATTTTGGGCAGAGAAAAAGGAAATTAAATTCAGACAAAGCTTATAAATGTATTAAGGTAGGGCCATTTATCTGAAATTCATTTTCCAAAATTTCTGGAGAAATATCCAAAGTCTAGTTTTTAAGAACACTCATATATTTATTGAAAATAATTAGACCCACCTTGATTTGATATTTGACTCTGAGGTAAGCAACTCTGCAACTGTCTGATTTGGAAAGAGAAAAGAAAATAATTAAAATAAGAACTCTAAAGATAAAAAACCCACATGCTTCTATATTTCAGATGTTTTATTTTCAAATTTTAATAGACATTAAAAGAAATCCTGGTCAGCAGAGGTGGTTGTGAAGGCTTCTGGGAGGTGTGGTCCAAGAACATCTGGAGGTCCAAGGTTGGGAACCACTGCCTTAGCACACACACACCCAATTTTTTCAAAACATTTGGTTCCTAAAGTCACTTACGCTCTCGAGGAAGGGGAGCAATGCTGCCATGTTTTGACAATAACAGAACACACATACACCCCATTTGCATTCTACTTTTATTTTGTAAAAGGGGAACTATTTATACGATCCGAAGAGAAACCAGAGTATTCTACTTTTATTTTGGCTACTAGAGGGTTCAAGCAGAAATTTTCTGCAAAAACCCAATTTTTGGATATTAGGAAGTCTACACTTCCCCATTCCTGGGTCATTGTAGAAGATTAGCTGCCAATCACAGGCCATACGTAGGCATACCTGTATTGTTGTTGTAGTTTCTCAGTGGGCTGAGCTCCATTGCGAATACCTTTCTGAATAACGGTGATTGCATGAGAAATGTCTCCCTGCATGCCAAGATGCTGGGCCCAAGCAAGGTACACAATGGATGACTTGTTACCAATTCCTTGAGTGTACATATAGTCAAAAAACTGACTTGGGTTGTCAAGGATGCTAGCCTACAGAACACAGAGACGAAAATACATGAACGTTAGTTAGAAAAATGGGATCAGCTCAACAGCAATAATTTTCTGTAATAAACAGGGGCAGGAAAGAAACAAGTAAATAAACTGGAAAAGATGCAGAAATGAGAAAACCCAAAATCATCCAACAGTTTGACTTAGCAGAAGTTTTTTTTTTCCCATATGCCTTCTGTAGATATGTAGTAGGATATGCTGACACAGATCAGTGGGTAAGACTGTCTGGGTCCAAAAGCTAAGGTCCAGGAGTTCCAATAACCCTGTGCTTCCGGGAGAGAAGCCAGCTGAGATCACTTAGAGAATGTGGCTGATAGGGTTGGGTAAGTTGCAAGATCTCGAAGCAGAGGGACTGATACACTACTTGAGTACTTTTTACCTAGAAAACTCTGGGAATATTACTGTGAAGTCAGAATGATGTGCCAAAACAGCCACGTGCTCAAGGACAGAAGCTAGTATCCTCTCCACCATAGCCTGAGTGTTAGGCTCCAGCCACAGAGCTTCAACAATCTCTGGTTTGGCACTGCACACGGTAGAGACTGTTCCAATGTTCTCAATGAAGCTTATACCTATACAAGAACGTACTAGATAACTCCTGGCACAAATTCTAGAAAACCCCATTGCATGCACAAAAGAGCATGGTCTGTAAAATTCTTTAGCCAGGTTTTTGTTGCTCCTGATAATCAATGACAAAGGATGAAATAAATATTTGGCACTGCTTTTCTTGATACAAAGCAAAGTGTGCTGCTTATATACCGCCCCATAGCGCTTCAAGCACTCTCTGGATGGTTTACAATTTAATTATGCAGGCTACACATTGCCCCCCCCCAGCGAGCTGAGTACTCATTTTACCGACCTCGGAAGGATAGAAGGCTGAGTCAACCTTGAGCCGGCTACCTGGGATTTGAACCCCAGGTCGTGAGCACAGTTTTGGCTGAAGTACAGCGGTTTAACCACTGCGCCACGACAGAAGCTAGAAGAAACATCTAAGGCAGTAGTTCCCAACCTTGGGCAATCCAGGTGTTCTTGGACTCCCAGATGCCTTCACTATCAGCAATTCCCAGAAGCCTTTACAGTACTATCAGCCGTGCTGGTTGGGGTTTCTGGGAGTTGAGGTCCAAGGACACCTGAGGTACCCAAGGTTGGGAACGGAGGACTTTGAATAAACAAGATGAGAAGAATGTGAAACCAGATGAAGACTCCAAGTCAACAGTGAAAAATCTTATGCATTCCCTCCATAATATGGAATTCTTCAATTTCACATCAAAAACGACATGATCAACAGGAAGAATCTTTTGAATACAAACTATTTATATCTTACTGCTATCACATCCAGCATTTTAAAGGCTGCTTGCATCTGTCTGTAAACTGGCATAAAGCATTGCTAATTTATTATTTGATACAGGCTAAACCTCTCATAAACATCACTTGGGCTGCTTGTACATACAAATTTTATGCAGCAGTCGATGAATCTTGCATCCTGCTGGTACCTCTTCTCATTCAAAAATGTCTTCATAAGCTGCTCCAGTAAATGTGATGTGTAATTTTCTCTTCCCTCTGCTTCTGAAATTCCTTCTACCCACTGAAGATACCTAAAAAAACAAGACAGTGAATCAGCTTCTTGTCTTTCAGGAAACTGAGAATCTGGACTTAAGAAGTGCAGTCAAGGAAAAGACCAACCTGTACCAAGGATCAAGTGGGTCATCACCACAATAGTTCTGTATATGAGCTTCAAACAGCCTATGGAGAAGTCAAATAAAGTCATATCAATATTTGAATTGACACCATACAACCACTTACTACTGTTAGAACAGAGCCACTAAAGAACCCTGATAAATACAGGTGACAGAAAACAAAAGTTCAATGGTATGATATTGTTTTTTCAAATATACAAATGGTACATTTTCCAGGATTCTTGCTCAAATGTAGAGCCTGCACACAAGCCAAGTTCTCTCTTCTTCAAACTCACCATTGCCCACATGGAGAAAGCAACAAGGAAGGGAGTGAAGCTGGTCAGTCACTTCAAAGCTGAATTAGAGAATGACTGATCAGGGCAATGTTGTAACAGCTATGTTCACACATTAACATTAACCCAGGATTTAGCGTTTACATGCAGAGACACCTGAGAATCTCAGAGGTTTCATGCTCCCTGAATTCTCTCCTCCAGCCAGGAACAGCAGCAGCCAATAGCACTTCGCCCAGTTGGTGGATTGTCAAACTACTCTACAATATGTATTCGCAAAGGCTTTCACAGCCGAGATCTAATGGTTATTGTGGGTTTTTCAGGCTCTTTGGCTGTGTTCTGAAGGTTGTTCTTCCTAATGTTTCGCCATTCTCTGTGGCCAGCATCTTCAGAGGACAGCACTCTGTGCTCTGGTGTAGTTGGCTTGAGAGTGCAGTATTTATGGCTGTGAAGTAGGCCTTTGTCTTTTTCTGTAGATGGGTGATTAGTGTGTCTTGTTGTGGGTGTCTTGTTGTGCTAAGGAGAAGAGATTATCTGTCACTGTGGTTGATGGGTGTCATTAGCTGGTCTTTTGTGTGTAGTGATCCCCTGTCCTTGTGGCTGGGTAGAGTGCATTGACCTTTTTATTTTTGAGAACTGGGAGCCAAGTTTTGTTGAACTTCACACTTTCCTCTTTTGTTGAAGTTCTGCTGGTGCTTCTGGATTTCAATGGCTTCCCTGTGCAGTCTGACGTAATGATTGCTGGTGTTGTCCAGTATTTCAGTATTTTGAAATAGAATTTCATGCCCAGTTTGTTTTAGGGATGTTCAGCTACTGCAGAAAATAGAAACAAACTGAAGAAGAAAAAGAGCTACCCACAAATAAAGTACTTCTGCCATACATCAAAGGGGTCACGGACTGCATGGGGAAACTTTTGAAAAAACACAACCTACAAACAGTATTCAAGCCCACTACAAAAATACAACAAATGTTATGGTCAGCAAAGGACAAAAGGGACCCCACCACCACTGCAGGATTATGCCAGATACCTTGAAGTTGTGGCCAGGTATATATTGGAACCACAAAATGCAGCATACACACCAGAATCAAAGAACATGAGAGACACTGCGGACTAAAACCACCAGAAAAATCTGCAGTAGCAGAACTTCAACAAAAAAAGAGGAATGTGCAGCTAATGCTACCCATCAACCACAGTGACAGATAATCTCCTCTCCTTAGCACAACAAGACACACTAATCACCCATCTACAGAAAAAGACAAAAGCCTATCTCACAGCCATAAATACTGCACTCTCAAGCCAACTACACCAGAGCAGAGTACTGTCCTCTGAAGATGCCGGCCACAGAGACTGGTGAAATGTCAGGAAGAACAGCCTTCAGAACACGACCAAAGAGCCCGAAAAACCCACAACAACCATTACTCTGCAATATGTTTGTGGGCTGTAAACAAAATTCAGAGTTAGACAATACCTTGTATGGACCACTGAATACCATTTTTAGATTTCTTTATTTACTTGATTTATATACCATTCCATTAATGCAAACATTACTCGTGGCAATTTACAAGTGAAAACTTAAAAATCTCACAGACCCCTATTTATCTAACAATAAATACAACAATGTGGCAATTTTTTAAAAATATAAAAATAAAATAAAAGAACAAGGGGAAAAAATAACATATTAATACTAACAGTGAGTAACAGGTCACTTTTCAGCGATTGTCTTGTTACAATCAATGCGTTTAGGATCGCAGCAATGAACCCCTGCCCCCGGGGAAGGAAAACGCAGGAGGGAGGCTTAACTCTCCCCATGGCCAGAGATTAAAGCAATGAAAACTCTTGTTCTCTATGTTTGCTTAGAGGAGCTCTCTTTGCCAGTAAATGGAAGCAAGTAAAGAAAGGTCCTGCTAACGTATTCATCTCCTTGCACATCCTAGTAGAATTTGTTTGCTCTCTTTCATTTACTTACAAGAAGAGCTCCTCTGAGAATGCACAGAGAGGAGGACTCCTTGTGGCTTCGGTCTCTGCGCATGTGAAGAGGGCATTCCACCCCACCCCCGGGGATTTCCAAGCAGAGTTCACAAATAACTCCGGCCCGGATCCTCTCCCTTTAAACGCGGGGCAGACAAGATCCCAGAGTCGCCGTGGATCCACTGGAAGCGAGATCAGCGCCGCCCGCGACTCACCTTGCGCGCGCCGAGAGATCCATCGCTGCCTCGCCGAGAGGCGCTCCCGAAACGGCGTCGTCCGCCATAACTGGAGGATACGTATACAGAAGATTTCAAATCGCCCCGCGCAGCCGCAGAGCCATCCCAGTCTTCTCGGGATTGGCTAGTGCCTCGGGAAGAGAAGCCAATCGGAGCGGAGGATTTCCTAGCCCCTTCCGTCTGTTGAAAGCGAAGAATTCGGAGGCCGAATTTTGGAGTAGGCTATCGCATAGAGATAAGAGATGAAAGAGGCGCCACACGCCTCTGTTTCTTGCGGTCCCTCTCCGAAGGCCACGGAATGAGAGGCGGCACCATTGAAATGGAGTGGAAACAGCCATTTATCTTTCTACCACCAGCCTTCATCCCTTCTGTGGCTATTTCTGTGTATCGGGCGGGATGGAGACGTGTTACTTGCAGCAAAAAAATACAAATAAATAAAAAGCTCTGTGGCAACTTAAAATACTACCCAGTTTTGTTGGACATTAATTCATCCTCCAGGTGTAGTTGCAAAAGAGTTAGCCCTGTTAGTCTGTGGAAGCATAGCAGGCAAAATCCAAAGAAGCATTAAAATATAATATGCAGTTAGTCTTTTAATGTAAGCTTTCGTGGACACGTCCGCAAACGTTTACATTAAAATGCAATTGTCTTTTAAGGTGCCGCATGATTTTCTGTCCTTTTTTGGTCTTGTTTTGTTTCTTTGGCTTTTGCCTGATATTCTCCAGGTAGAAGATGGAGAGAAACCACCGACTTTGCATCCAAACCCGGATGAATTTTAAATCACGATTTAAATTTTAAAAAAATCAGAATTTTTGACAACGTAATTTTAAAAAAAATTAAATTTAAATTGTGATTTAAAATCAATTTGATTTTCAAAATTATTGATTGTTACACACCCTGATCAAAGGAGCTGTAAACTGATACTTTTAACATCTCTTCTGAGCCTGTTTATACACCTTGTATGATGAATATTAGCATCGCCAAGAATCCTGGAGAACTCAAAAGCTCACGCTGCTTTTGTGCTATTTTTGTAACACTTCAGTGATCCGTATTTTGCTTTTATAGTAGAGTACTTTGGGACAGGGCTGGCTACTGTTTGTTGGATTCAAACTGGCATTAATTCTTGTGCCGCCCACATTATCCTTGAGAATCCAGATTATACTACTACTAATAACAATCTTAGTACTGAAGAACTGAAAGGGATCCTGTGGATCATCAAGTTGAGCCCTTGAAAAGGAGGCACATTGGATCCATAGTTTCTTTTTTGTTTTTATTTTGGCCTAAGTTGGATGTCTTGGCATAACTGTAAACAAGGATATTATGTGACATCCACACCAGTCTAGAAAATAATTGCAAATGAAGGTGTCTTTCTGTTCCAGCATTTCTTTTCCCGTTTATTTTATCTAGAACAATCCCTTCTAACTATCTACTTACTGTTTCTCCTTGTGTAGTAAAATGCTTTCTGTGTTTTATCTCTTTTATGATTTCTTGGCTTTTATTCATTCACCTTAATACCGTATTTCTTTGTTGACTGCCCTCTCCTTTATGGTGCTTCTGTCCCCAACCTCTTCTGCTCTACAATGTCCAGTATGATTGATGTGCTACTCAATTCAAAATCTAGCCTGTTTTTAATACAGTACTTCAGTGGTCCGACTGAAGGTATTGCACACCCTGTCCTGTCGACTCTAGAAAAGCTTCACATCCTGTAACAAATCCCCACATCAAATAAATCTGGTTTCGTACAGTAGCCTGAATAATCATGCTGCAGCGCAAAATAGAATGTGTACCTTACAATGCACATTCTCAACCCTGACTTTTTGTTGCATATTAGGGTATTTGCCTTCAAGAAACTGAGCCCATGCAAAACAGAATCAAATAAGAAGATAGATGAACTTTCTTGCCCCATGATCATCTTGGAGTCTTGGCCCTATTTATAGAGAAATCCCCTTACAAGGAAGAGAACTACATTGCCCATTTCATTGTTATTAATTTTCCCTCTTTCTATAGGATGTTTAACAGAGCCTCATGGCACAGTGGTTAAACTGCAATACTGCAGTGAAGATTCTGAGTTCGATCATGACAGGCTCAGGTGGCCAGCTTGAGGATGTTGACTCATCCTTCCATCTTTTGGGGGTTAGTAAATTGAGTAGCGCTGGGAGGGAGCAATGTATAGTGTGCATAATTAAATTGTAAACTCCCCAGAGAGAGCTTTAAACACTATGGAGCGTTATATAAGCAGCACACTTTGTTTTTTACTTTGCTTTCATATAATCTCTGTGAAAGAAACTCTTAGTCCTTTCCATTACTACCTTATAGAGTTGTATAAAAACTACTGGAACATTGTAAACTGCAGCTCCATCTTCAGGAACTTTTTTTTTGTTTAGTCGTTAAGGTGTGTCCGACTCTTCATGACTCCATGGACCAGAGCATGCCAGGCCCTCCTGTCTTCCACTACCTCCCGGAGTTGGATCCAATTCATTTTAGTAGCTTCGCTGACACTGTCCATCCATCTTGTCCTCTGTCATCCCCTTCGGCTCTTGCTTTCGCACTTTCCCAACAGCAGGGTCTTTTTCTGGGAGTCTTCTCTTCTCATGAGATGGCCAAAGTATTGGAGCCTCAACTTCAGGAGTGTTCCGTGCACTCCCTCTTCCAAGTCATTAATAAAAATGCTGAAGAGCACCAGACCTAGGACTCAGCCTTGGGGTACCCCACTTGTTACTTCCTCCCAATTGGAGAGGGAGCCATTAATCATCACCCTCTGATTATGATTCTCTAGTCAATTGTATATCCACCTGAGACTTGATCTATCCAGCCCACATCTAGTTAGCTTACTAATCAGGATATTATGGAGCACTTTGTCAATATCTTTGCTAAAGTCAAGATATACTATGTCTATAGCACTGCCTCTGTCTATCAGAGAGGTTACCCGATCAAAAAATGAGATCAGATTTTTTTTATTGTTTAGTTGTTAAGTAATGTCCAACTCTTCGTGACCCCATGGACCAGAGCACGTCAGGCCCTCCTGTCTTCTACTGCATCCTGGAGTTGTGTCAAATTCATGTTGGTTGCTTCAATGACATTGTCCAACCATCTCATCCTCTGTCGTCCCCTTCTCCTCTTGCCTTCACACTTTCCCAACATCAGGGCCTTTTCCAGGGAGTCTTCTCTTCTCACGAGATGGCCAGATCTTGACAAATCCATGTTCGCTTATACTTATTATTTTGACACAACCTACTTGGCTAGCTCTGGTTCTCCTTTGTTTTCTTCTTGTCTGTGCAGGTGATCTAGAGTTAAAACAATGCATCAATGCAGTGATAAGGTGACCAACCTTTAAGTTGATAGTGTTTTTTTAAATAAAACAAATTCTTCAGGGGCCCTGTCCATTCTGTATCATTTTTAAAACAAAACAATCACACAGGGGAACGACAAGTTGAATCATTCTGGCTTTTAAAAAGTAGAAGCTCCCAGCAGCAGGGAGGAAAAACTGAAAACCAGAAGCAAAAAGGTCAGGACTGATTTGGCATTGGCTTTTGCATCATGATAATTGAAAGTGCTTCAAATTCTCCCTTGCTAATTGCAGAGCAAATCCCAAAGTATTTGCCAATGAAGTCACAGCCTTACATGGTTGCCCCAGAGTTGTCACATGGTAGCAAATTTCCAGGGATATTGGCAAGTCTTTCACCATACCATAGTCTCTCGAGACTGAAGGATGCCTACATGGAATTGCAGAGCAAATCCCAAAGTATTTGCCAATGAAGTCACAGCCTTACATAGCTGCCCCCCTGGAAATTATAGTAGCAAATTTCCAGGGATATTAGCAAGTCTTTCGGAACCAGAAGCAAAAAGGTCAGGACTGATTTGGCATTGGCTTTTGCATCATGATAATTGAAAGTGCTTCAAATTCTCCCTTGCTAATTGCAGAGCAAATCCCAAAGTATTTGCCAATGAAGTCACAGCCTTACATGGTTGCCCCAGAGTTGTCACATGGTAGCAAATTTCCAGGGATATTGGCAAGTCTTTCGGTCCAAGTCTGAGTCTTTGGTACCAAGTCCCAAGTCTGGAGTCCCTATTAAAAACAAGCTCTTTTTCCCCCAGAAAAAAAGGAGAGGATAGGTGGATTATTCTGAGTTGCAAACTGAAAAAGAAGAACCAAGTTGAATCCAGGTCAAATCACTGGTGCAACTTAAGTCCAACACCAAGTCCCACGAGTTGAGTTCCCATCCCTGCAAATTACCTCTTAAAAGTACTTTCTACATTGTTCATTTGTTGATCACTAACATCCCCTGCTGTTCCACCATAGGCATAAATCAATCAACTTAGCAAGCTATCTGCCATTTTAGCCAATGGACTCCCTACTCTAATGGTCCCCAACCTTGGGCCTCCAGATGTTCTTGGACTTCAGCTCCCAGAAATCTGAAGGGAAGGCTTCTGGGAGTTGTAGTTCAAGAACATCTGGAGGCCCAAGGTTGAGGACCACTACGAGTCCACCTCAGCTTCTGACACAAAGCATTTGTTAGGTTTTAAAGTTAGGACTGGCCCTATCACTAGATAGCTGACCCAAGCAACTGATGCTGAATGCCTTGAAAGGATGAGTTAACTGTTCTTTCTATGGTTTTACTACTGTTTATAAGAAGACATACTTGTGCTCTTGCTACACTTGTGCTCTTGAATGTCTTCTTGGACTTCAGCTCCCAGAAATCCTGGCCAGCAGAGATGGTGCTGAAGGCTTCTGGGAGTTGTAGTTCAAGAACATCTGGAGGCCCAAGGTTGAGGACCACTACGAGTCCACCTCAGCTTCTGACACAAAGCATTTGTTAGGTTTTAAAGTTAGGACTGGCCCTATCACTAGATAGCTGACCCAAGCAACTGATGCTGAATGCCTTGAAAGGATGAGTTAACTGTTCTTTCTATGGTTTTACTACTGTTTATAAGAAGACATACTTGTGCTCTTGCTACCGAAATAACTTGAATGTCTGTAAATATACCTTGTCAAGGGCAGCAGTGGTGTGGAAGGGACTGCCATGCCTCAAAGGGCAAGATTTCTTAGACCAATCCTATTTAAAGTGTTTTGTTGTTGATATTAGCGGTGGTGGGTTTTGTCTTGTTTTGTTTTTGTTATTTGAACTGGCTGATG